TCTCTCTCCCTGCTTCTCCCTCTCCCTCTTTCCTTTTTATTGTGTCTATCTGTCTCTCTCTGTCTTTGTCTCTGTCTCTTCCCTTCTCTTAATTCTCTCTCTCTCTCTCCCTCCGTCTCTCTTTGTCTGTTTCTCTCCCTTTCTCCTTCCCTCTGTTCTCTCTCTCCCTGTTTCTCCCTCTCCCTCTTTCCCTTTTTTGTGTGTCTCTCTCTTTCTGTCTCTGTCTCTTATCTGTCTCTGTTTCTATCCCTTTCTCCCTCCCTCTCTTCTTTCTCTCTCCCTCCCTCCCTCCACTTCTCTCTCCCCCTTTCCCTTTTTTGTCTGTCTCTTTCTGACTCTTCTCTCTCTCTTTCTCTCTCTCTCTCCCTCCCTCCCTCTGTTTCTCCCTCTCCCTCTTTCCCTTTTTTGTGTCTCTTTGTCTTTCTGTCTCATCTCTTCTCTTTTCCTCTCTCTCTCACCTCCCCTCCCTCTCTCTGTCTCTCTTTGTCTGTTTCTATCCCTTTCTCCCTCCCTCTATTCTCTCTCTCTCGTCTCTCTCTCCCCCCCTTGTCTCTCTCTCTGTCTCTCTCTCCTTGTCTCTCTGTTTCTATCCCTTTCTCCCTCCCTCTCTTCTCTCTCTCTGTGTCTCTGTCTCTGTCTCTCTCTCTCTCACATCTTCAGCCTTTCCCTCTCTATTGGTCCTCTGCCTACCTCCATACATGCCCAAGTCTCCTTCAACCTCAAAAAACATCACTGAGGAAACTGAGGCCCAGAGAAATTAGTCAAAAGCTAGTAAGTGCCAGTGGCAGGATTTGAACCCAAGTCATCCTGGCCCATGGTCAGTGTTCTTCCCCTCTGCACCACACTGACAGGAAACTGTTTTCAAAGAGATTCATGCATTCCCCAGCATAGGCTCGGTGCTTCCTATAAGCCAAGCCCAAAGCTCAATGCTGGGACCATAAAGACAATAAACAGACGTCCCTGTCCTGTCCTTGAAGCAGGGAAAAGACTCGTTCACAGAAAATTAAGACAAACTCTACCCAAAGTCCAATACAAGTCATTTCCAGGAGTGGGGGGGGGGGGGGGGGTGCTTCTGGGAAGGGGCACTGGGCTGAGCTTCCACTGGGAAGAAGCCAAGGATTCTGGGACCTGGGAGGGAGCAGAAAATGCAGCTCAGTCAGTTGCGCTGGACCCAGATGCCAGGCAGGAGAGCCATGGGAAATCAGCCTGCAAAGGTCAGCACAGACAGACTGTGCTGAGCTCTGAATGTCAGCCTGGGCACGTGCCTCACTGTTGGTTTAGCGAAATAAAGCAACACCTGGAACTTTTAATAACGATGCTGATGGCTCACATCTTTAGAGCCCGCTGAGGCTTGCAGAGGCTTTCCTTTGCTGATCCTCCCAGCAACCCTGTGAAGGAGGGGCTGTGATTATCCCTATTTTACAAATGGGGAAACTGAGGCTAGGAGAGAGTCACAGGGGTGGGATGCATCTGGGGCCGAATTCAAATCCAGGTCTTCCTGACTCAAAGTACAGAAACAGAAACACACCAGACATGTAGATCTGATTGATACTATCCTTTCAATGAGGTATTAAGGAAAAGTTATATTAATATGTAACATGTGTAACATATATATCCTATATCAAATTGCTTACTGCCTTAGGGAGGGAGGGAGGAAATTTTGAACTCAAAATTTTTTAAATGAATTAAAAAATTATCTTTACATGTAACTGGAAAAAAATAAAATATAATTTAGAAAAATAAAGACACACAAGGTGCTCTGAGAGCTAAAAACATCCGGTCCAGGGGAGTCTCTAGGAATCTCTGGGGCACTTGCTGAACCAGAGCACCTTTTGTTACCTCTCCATAAAAGGTCTTGTAGCAAAGGTTCTTAATTCTTAAAACGACAGAGGCTAGACGCTCCCCTAGCTCCCCACCCAGATTCCCTGCTGCGGCATTACGAGGCCCCAGGCAGAGAACTGAAGGGATTGTTCAGCATTGTGTGTAGCAGGTGACACTCTCATCAGCACTGGGCCATCCTGCAAGCCAGGGACAAGTGCTTCTCAAGCTCTTCGCCTTGTGCCCCACCCCTCATTCAGAAGCCCACTAACAGTCACTGCACCCTGAGCACCAAGAATCCAGGTCGTTCTGCATGAAGCTCCCAGGAGGACGGAAACTGGAAATAATGTGTACCCACAAAGACTGGAAGGCCAAGTATCTCTCTGAGTCTCACTTTCTTCATCTGAACGATGGGGATCTACTTCGCAAAGTTGTTCTGAGCAGATAAGATGCTACAAGTAAAACCTAAAGACATTTCAGGGCCCGGTAAATGTCAGCCATCATCATCAGCTTCTGAGTCATGGAGCCCAGGAAAAAGGCAGAAACAACACCTCCAGGCTAATGGAGAAGAGGGAGAGACTCGGAGGGGAGAACAAAGCCCACCGGAAAGCTTTCAAGTCGACGTTCCTGGCTTCGGGCTCCCATCAAAGCCTCCCTCTGAGAACCACTTGAGAGCGTGTAAGGTGAGAAGGCCATCCTGCAGCCTCCAGAAAGCTCCTTAATCAAGAAACAGACGTGAGATGTTCTGGGGAGCCGCAGCACCACGGAGGGTGCTTCTTACCTGAGACAGAGTAGACACAAAGCTTTCTGGCGTGCAGCACAGCCAAATGCAGCAGCTCCGTCCCTCTGTCGAAGGAAAGGGGGACAGTTTACAAACAAGCGTCAGACAGGGCCGCAACGGTCAGCAAGTCAGTCAGTCAGCAAGCATTTATTCACAACATACGAGTGGCAGAGACTATGGTTAAGCCCCAAGAGGACAAAGACAGGCAAAGACGGCCCCTGCCCCTGAAGGGCTCACATCCCAATGAGGGACAGGATTATAGCTCAGAACAGGTGAACCACCACCCACAAAAGGGTTTGAACTGAGAAATAAATGTAAAGGTAAACTTTCTACCCATCAGCCTACTCGTGCCATGCCAGACACACGTACATATGCGCGTGCACATACATACACACACACACACACACACACATATCACCCTCCTCCTCAGCCCTGGGATCCTCACAAGCTACTGCCCGAGATCTCTCCTCCCTTCTCCCTAAAGTTTCTGAAGGAGTGGCCGACCCTTGTCTTCACATCCTGACTCTCCCTTCACTTTGGACTCCTTGCAATCTCTTGGCTCTGTTCTGGAGCTCTCCAGATGGACACCTGGCCAGCAGCTGAAAGTCAGCAGGTGCAAGGCAGAATGGCTCATGTGCCCCACTGAATCTGCCCCTCCTCTCTACTCTGCTATTCCTCTTACTGGCACCACCACCCTGCCTTCAGGCCTCTCCCCCATCTTCTGCATCCTACCCGGGGCCAGGTCCTCCTCATCTCCCCCTGCTGAACCCCTTCTCAAGCTCAGCTTCATGCCCCCTCCTTCGTGAATTGTGCCCTGATGCCCTGCTAGCCAAAGGTAAAGACGCCCCCTCCTCAGGGCCTCCCGAGCTCTCTGTCTGGACCTCTCCTGTACCCCAGCACATCCCTTCTGGCATTTTGGCAATCTGTGCCTATGTCAGAGCCCCCCTCTTAGCCTGGAAACCCCCTGAAATAAGGGGGTCACCTTTGCCTGCTTAGGACAGTGAAGTGGTCATAGAAGGCACTTCACAAATGCCAACAAAACTGAATAATAACACAAGCCCCCTAGGGAGACTCCTCAGACCCCACCACCTCCATTTTGCCCAGGAAAAACAGATGGGTTCCCTTGTTTTCACCGTAGGTCTCATCTTTCTTTTTCACTATCTCTCATTTTCCACCTCGCACAGAATGTAATTAGATGGCACTCACGCTTTGTACAAGCCAGATTTTTTGGGGGGGGGGGGGGGGGGGGGGGGCAGAACTTGGCCATTAGAAGAAACAGTCTATTCAATTCCCCAGCAGCTTATCACCGTGCCTGAAATCCATGCAATACCTCTGAGCTAAGCAGCTCTGGGAAGACAATACACATTTGTCACCCTGTCACCTGGAAAGATAACACCCAGAATTGGTGCGAGTTTTGCTTCAGCTCAGAAACAAAATGGTTCTGGTAAGAGAGGACATATAGCTTCATTTTTCTTCCTTCTTAATGGGTTTTCTCGCTCCAAATACATATACATGACAAATACCCAGAGAGAATGCACGCTTAACAGAATCCATGTGCTCTAGAGACCAAAGAATAATCACACCTAAGGAAATAACCATTTTTTAAATCACATATTTATAAAGAAAATGACCATTCTCCAAAATAACTATGCCATGCAAGAGAAGTCACAAAACCCTAACACTGGGCATAGGGGCTGCTACCTTGGCCCAGCCTTGAAGGGCAGACTTACAGACACAGGGAGTCCCTCCCTCCTTCAGGACAGAAGGGAGTTGATTTTAAAATCCCAAACTTAGAGGATAAAAGGTGATGACCACCGGTTGGTGGCACCTAATTATTTCTTTAACTCTGTCTTTTCCTAGAGCTTTGGGTGTTTCATATGCAGTTTCTGCATGGGGCTTCCTGGCAAGCTGGGCGTCGGCTGCCTTTAAGGTCTAGCATAATAAGCCCATGGAACCACAGGACAATTTCCATAGAATGAGGGTCCTAAAGCGGGATGAAACTGGACCACAAACACCAAGGAAAATGTTTAGATTCATAAATGGCATTCAGCTTCCAGGCACAGAGACTTGTAGAAGTGACAGAGTCAGTCTTGAGAGAAGCAAAAGCTGCGATCACTATAACAAAGACCCTAATCACTGTCATTTTTGTCAACTCTACTTACGAAACAAATTTTCCCACTTCTACTTGGAGGATGGGATCTCGTAAATGAACCTCGAGGAGCAAATCTTCAGCCTGTGCTCTGTCCCCCACTTTGACAGGGTGCGGGGAGAAGATCCTCAGGTAACCTGTGTAACTGCCCACAACTATTTTATCTGGAGAAGGAAAAAGAAATATGGAGAAGACACCATCAACAAAACCACTGTGGAAAGCTCACTTCTGTGTGTGTATGTGCTAGGTATGATATACAAGCCTTGCTCCCTTCGTAAATAAGGGAAGCTTTCAGAAGCATATACGTGGAAATGGTATTCTTGGCCGTTAATACATATATTAATTGTCATCAATCATTAGTCATTAATGTGTATATTAAGACATATTGTTAAATCAATTAGTCACGTCTGAATCTCTATGACCCCATCTGGGGTTTTCTTGGCAGAGATACTGGAGTGGTTTGCCATTTCCTTCTCCAGTTCATTTTATAGATGAGGAAACTGAGGCAAACAGGGTTAAATGACTTGCCCAAGGTCACATAGTTAGTAAGTATCTGAGGCTTGATTTGAACTCAGGTCCTCCTGACTCCTAGGTTGGCACTCTATCTGCTGTACCACCCCAGCTGCCCTTCTCAGTAACAGACTGCTTCTCAAAAATAGCTGTAAATCACCAATTATGTTACCCTAGCCTCCACTAACTTGGGGGTGACCACAGGTGCTCCGTCTCAGGCCAATGGCAGTGAATCCACCATCCATTTACCTCTTTGTTCACAAAAGGATGTTTGTCAAATGCTAACCTACTCGGAAGGAAGCTCCCACGGAGCCCGAAATGTGGGTGGCATCGTGCATCTTCCATTTATAAAGACATCTTGAAATGGGACAAAAGGTCCTTCAAAGGCCTGAAAACCGGGGATCCACCCCACTTTCCTAAACTGCAACTACTGCAAAAAAAAAAAAAACAAACAAACACAGGAGATCCCTGAGAAGTTGGCAGCCAGAAGAAACATCTAAAAGAAACCAAAAACATGATGCAATAACTGCAGAGATTTCTTTCCATCCATGAACATAAATAACATCAGGCTGCAAACCAGCTCTAGCAGCAATGGCATTGCAGGCTCCACAAGGCTGGGCTGTTGCTATTCAAAAGCCGGTGTTTATGATCCAAAGCTACAGAAATGTAACATTGGAGGCGAGGTTTGCAAAGCACCTTCCTCAAAACCCCAGGAGACAGACTGAGCAAGTATCACTAGCCTCACTTGACAGATGAAGAAACTGAGGGTCAGAGCAGAGCCCTGCATCACAGGTGGGCTTCAAACCCAGGTTTCTTGACTCTAAGTGTTGCCCTCTTTCCCCTGCCCCCAAGTCCTGAATCCCGGCTCTCCATTCAGCTGAGAATCATGGCATGTTGGACACAGACTTTCCCTGGAAATCTCCAGGGATCGGCCTGAATTCTTCTCTTGCTTCAAGCCTGTGAACTTGCTGGCTTTCAGATCAGAGAGTGCATCTCCCTGCTCCCAAGAAACATTCACCAGAGAACAGAGGAGACTGACAAACACAGTCAGTCACAGAAGGGAGAATTCATATTTTGTTGTCTCCATATCTGAACTTGGTGACCAAGTAACTGAAACACACAGTTTAGCTGTACTACAGGGAGAAAAAATAATTAGTATCCTAATTTCCAAATATATCTTTTAAAATAAGATTTCACCATATTCTGATGGGGCAGCTAGGTGGCACAGTGGATAGAGCACTGGCCTGGAATCAGCTCATCCTCATGAGCTCAAATCTAGCCTCAGACACTTCCTAGCTGTGTGACCCCGGGCAAGTCACTTCACCCTGTTTGCCTCAGTTTCCTTATCTGTAAAATGAGGTGGAGAAGGAAATGGCAAACCACCCTAGTATCTTTGCCAAGAAAACCCTAAATGTGGACGCGAAAAGTCAGACATGACTGAAAACAACTGAACAGCATACTCTGATCACATTAGGATAAAAAAGTATTCTTTTGCATTAAATATTTCAAAACTGAATTCCTCGCCTTCCTGGTCCCACAGAATGAGATGAACTACCCAAAATCCAGAGACTTCCTGGTGTGCCAATGACCACCAACCCAGACAGTGACCTCCTACAGCACCTTCCTGGCAGACAAAAGTGTGTGGCCTCTATTAATAAGCAAACCAATCGGGGTTTAGAGGGCCATTCTGGTCAACTTGACAAAAAGCCCTTTTCAGATAACACACTCAACTGCCCAAGAAAGCTAAATCCATGTGGATCTCTGAACAGCCTCAAAAAACCTGGGGAAAGCTTCCACAGAGCCCCCCACTGCAAAGTTCCAGCACCCCGGCACCCCCGGACACCCCTTCTCTCAGGCACCTCTTTACTGTTCTCTCCCAGGCCACCAGCCCTAACCCTGAAGTCTGGGCACTGCAGTGGAAGCCGGGACAACCTCTTCTTTTCACTGGCCATCTAAGAGTTAAGGATTAGCAGCTTAACGAAGCTCTCCCATCCACCTGCCATCCACTGGCCATCTAAGAGTTAAGGATTAGCAGCTTAACGAACCTCTCCCATCCACCTTTCTAAGCTTTCCTTGGGCCTTTTCTGCTGATCTCATTACTGGCAGCAGAAATAGGTGGTAGGGGAAATTGGGATGGATTGGTTTTTGCACCCAGACTGATTGGGAAGGCGCTGAATGCTCTCCCCAGGCTGCCTCGGCAGTGCTGGCTGCATTATCTGGTGAACAAGATTTAACAGCTTGAGGCCTTAGAGGGCAGCAGTATAAATGAGTTTAATCCTAGATGGGCTTTGTTTTTGAAGCCCAGTTTAAAAGAACAAAATGCTGTTCCTCAATGACGAGAAGAGGCCATTTTAAAAGGTAATAGGTAAATAAATGTTTAAAAGCCCAGCAGCATCTAGTTAATGCAATAGCAGGGAAAAGCATTCGATCCATTCTCCTCTCTCGAGGGCCTTCGGTGTTGTTCAGCCGTGTCAACTCTGTGTGAACCCAATGGGGGTTCCCTCGGCAGAAATACTGGAGTGGTTCACCATTCCTTCCCCAGCTCATTTTGGAAATGAGGAAACTGAGGCAGACAGGGAGAAGTGACTTGCTCAGAGTCACACAACTAGTATTTGAACCCAGGGCTTCCTATCCACTGCAGCAGGTGGCTGCCCATCGGGGGACTTTACTGTTAAACTAAGGCAAGCCTGCATTCAGGAACCACACACATTGGAGACTTGAACTGGAGGAAGGGACCTCAACCCTCTCATTTTTCAGATGAGAAGTTTGAGACCCAAAGCAGGGAAATGACTCATCCAGAGCCAACAAGGGCAGAGACAGGATTTGAATTCAGGTCCTTTGTTTCCAGAACTGAGCCTCACAGGCTGTGTGACGAAGGACAAGTCTCCTTCCATCTCTGGTCTCAGTTCCTGTGCCTGCCCTCTCAGGTCCCTCCCAGGTCTGTGGACCGGCCTGGACTCCTGCCTAGAAACCTGAGTGTCTCCCCGACAGGCCCAGTGCTGCAAACCTGCAGGACAGGACATGCTGCTGAAATGCGTGGGCTTCCCTCCCACCCCGCACAGTCAACGCCCCTTACCCTCTCCAGTGCAGCTGTTGTCCACGTCGGCCACACACAGACACCCTTGGTCGAATTCTTCTTTCTCTCCCAGGACAGCAGACCACCAGTCTCGAGCTTTAAACAAGGACATTTTCTTTCACCCTAAAAATAAAGCATGATCTTCAAGGTAAAATCTACACTTCACATCCTAAATCTCTTTAGGGGAATCAACAAGACCTAGGGGCCTTGGAAAGAAGCTGCCAAACTGACTCGAAATCTTCCATTTTATGAGTAACTTGGGAGACTGCAACCTATAGCGTTTGAAACCTTCACAGAACTTCAGATTTGGGGCGCTGGAAGGGAGCTTGGATGCAATCCAGTCCCACCCAGACAGGAGAGGAAGCCCCCATAGCAAAGCCTCTCCGTGATCACCGTGCTTCTGCTTGCGGGCCTCCAGGGACAGTACCCCAACCCCTGGCAGGGAGCCCTCCCTCCCCCAGCCAGGCCACATTTCAGGAGCTCCTTCAATCTGACCCATCCAGTCAGATGGCTTCAAAGAGCTTGGCTACTGTCTTTGTCGGCCAGGCTGAGCAAAAGCCCCTAGGAATCATTAGGGACATTTTCTCTTCCAAGGTGCCAAAGAGGTATGTTACAAATGGAACCTGGTATCCTGAAGGAGTTCATTTATCTCACCCAAAATGGGAAGAGAACTCCACTCAATCCTGTCCACAAAAATTAGACCTGAGTATTTTTCAAAAGCTGACTCTCCCCCTTGCAGAAAAATCAGCTTCAGAAGTCATGGCGAGCACATGCATTGAGCATCTTCCTCAAAATAAGCAAGATCATCCCCCAAATGACTGCGCCCCAGACACAAAACTGAAGTGAGGAAGGTGGAAACACAGTGAAGTGTCAACAATGCAGCTCACAGACAGCTGGCTCTCTCAGGTTTACAAAGTGCTTTATATGATATACAAGCAATGGGGTATAGAAATCAATCCTGCCCCAGGGATGGGGGTGCCTAACAGAAGGAAGAACAGATTGGGGGAAGGGGTATTCAGAAAGCACGCCACTGGGGTGGGGGGAGAAGAGAGATGGGGAGAAAATTTGGAACTCAAAATCTTGTGGAAGTGAATGTTGAAAACTAAAAATAAATTAATTTTTTTAAAAAGTGCTTTACATGATCTCATCTGACCCTCGCAAGAACTCTGCAGGCCAAGTGTTCCTACTCTTATTTTCAGGGGAAGAACTGAGTCTCAATGTAAGTAAAGTCTAGGGTCATAGAGCAAGTAAGTGTCTAAGGCAGGATCTGAACCCAGACCTTCCTGACTCCAAGTCCAGCATTACATAGCCACTTACTACATCCTCCAATTAATATTGTTATCTAAATAGATTATCCAAGAAACCACACAACAACCTGGTTGGACGGCCAAGGAACCGGACCACAGGCCCATCCCCAAGGCTCCATCTCTGGGCTTGGCGCTGCTCTATCCCAGAAAACAACTGGGGAGAGCGGCTGCAACCTGCAAAGAGGTCAGGCGCTGCCCCCTGCCCCAGAGGCCCCACTGCTCAGGAAGGAGAACAGGAGTGAGGCACGAGAGGGGGAGAGAACAAGGGGGCAAGAAGTCCCCGAGGGAGAAGAGAAACAAGCAGGCCAGAACAGGGGATGGGTCTGCGATGAATTCTGGAATCCCTACGTCTTTCCAACAGCCAGCATTACTGATAGCCTTGTGCAGCCACGCCTAGACCTACAGTCAGGCAGGCAGAGGACCAACCCCAGTAACTACAGCAGTCCTCGGCAGCAGACCTCTCCCACAGAGCGTCATCGTTCACATAACCACAGCCCCCACTAGCTCCTAAGCATCACAGCCTTCCAGCACGCACCTGGCCCCGAGTCTGGTCCTACAAGGGAAATCGTGTCACTGGTTTTAACTTTTAAATGACTACTGTACCAAGCCCTTTCTTACACTGTGGTCACTTCCCAGGAACTGCCCCCACTTCTCAAGTGGCACTGGCCCTGCCTAGACAGACACGATCTATCCTGCTCCTTTTACAAGTCAGGAAACCGAGTCTGGGGCAGGCTAAGTACCACAATCAAGTCCACATCCCATCCAGGTGCTTAAGGCTTTCACAGCCTGACTCCAACCTGCCTCTCCATCGGTGAGACGCGTCCCTCGCCTTCCCTTCCTCGATGGTGAGGTCCACCTGTGGTGTGGACGCTCCTTCCACATGCACATACACACACACATACTTTCTCTCTCTCTCAGAAACCCGGGTTTCCTTCAAAGGTTAGCTCCTAGGCCACCTTTTACCCGAGACTTTTCTGACTGCCTCCTTCCCCTGCTGCCAGTACCTCTGCCCCCCCAAATTATCTTGTGTGTGTATGTATGTATGGCCTATATATATATATACATACATACATATACACATATATATGTATGTACATATAGGCTTGACATCAGGAAAAGCTTCCTAACAACACGAGCCGTCCCCCTGTAGAACAGGCCCCCTCCTTGGAGATCGTCCCCCAGGGATGCACAGCCCTGGTCACTAGGGTGCATGTCTGGGCTGGACCATGCGGCCCCCAAGATGATCAGAGGATGCTCTAGGCACTGGCCTAGCGGTCAGAAGCCCTGGCACAATCTCAGCTCTCAACTGGCCATGAGGCAATAGTCACCTAAGCCACGGCTGCCCTGGGGGCTGCAGAGCCCCTCTGTTCAAAAAAGATCCATACTCACGCACAGGGCTGCTGCAAGAAAAAGATTCTGCCAACTGCCGAGCACTCTGTGCACATGGGCTGAAAAGGCAACTAAGAAGCATTTATTATTATCTGCTCTGTACCTTGTCCTGCACCTGGCCCCAGAGGCACAAAGACCAAAGAATCCCTGACCCCCAAAGGGTGCACTCTCTACCGGGACAAACACCACGGACACACAACAAGTGCGAGGCTCTTTCCGGAGGCAAGGATAAGGACCTCAGGTAGCCCATAGGTGGGCTCAGCACTGCAGGAGGCCTGGGATTCTCAGAGGCAAAGGTGGGCAGGGGCTGCCTTCCAGGCACTGGACATGGTGGGAAAGGCAGAGATGCATGACAAACTTGGCAAGAGAAGCCCGCAACAGACTGTGGAGGGTTTTCAAATGCCAAAGGAGGGGGTATTTCAATACTATAGGCAACAGGGAGGCAATTAGAGCAGAGCCTGGCTCAGTGGGCCCAGAGCTACAGGAAAATCATTTTCACAGCCAGGCAGCTGATCAATTGGTGAGAAGAGAAATTTGCTGCAGAGAGACCAATTAGGAGGAGTGGAGCAGCGCAGGCCTGGACTGGCTGGGTGAGGGAAGAGGGGAGTGAAACAGCACGGCTCCCGGGCCACAATCTCCTCTCTTCTCGCCTGCCTATCAACACTTTCTGCTTCGGCTTCTGCCCTCATCACGCGGCTGTCACTGCTCTTGGAATGAGGTCTCCTCATTTTCCGGCTCAATTCTTCACCTCTCTGAACAAACTCCAAGCGCCCCCTCCTTCCAGCTCCTCCCCTTTGGGTCTTCAGGACCCCGCTATCTTTGGTTCTCCCGCCCCCGTCTGACTGCACCCCCATCCTCTATAGCGTACCCTACCTGCCCTGCTCTGGCCACACTCTCTCACGTGGCAGCATCATGAGCTCCCAGGGTTTTAATTATCATCTCGATGCACACGACTGACTCATTCCACATCTCCAGGTGCCTATTAGATAGTTCAAACAAGCATCTCACAGGCACCAATCTCACACGCAAAATGTCCACAACGGAACTCACTCTCTTTTCCCCAAACCCACCCCATTCCTAACACCCCTGTTTCTGTGAGGGCCCCATCAGCCTTCTGGTTTCCCAGGTTGACAATTTCAGAGTGACTCTTAACTCGTCCCTGCCCTTCACCCCAGAAACACAATCGAGGCTAAATGTTGTTTCTGCATCCACAACACCTCAACCCCTTCTCTGTACTCTGATAGCCACCCCCTGACTCAGGCCTTACTGCTCTCTCCTGGACTATGGAAATCATTGTCCAGCTGGTCTCTGGGCCTCACATCTCACTTTTCCAATCCATTCTCCCTTAAGTACCAAAATCACATTCCCAGGTGTGGATCCGGCCATGTCACTGCCCTATTCAGTAACCACCAATGATGCCCACCTGCCTCAAAGGCCAAACAGAAGCTCTTCTCTTTGGCTTCTAAAGCCCTTCACGACCCAGCCCTAAACTCCCAGTCCAAACTTATTATTCCAACCCTTCCGCAAGTCAGGGCACAGTGACAGCCAGTCCTCCATCTCCCACTGCAGGGCCTTCGCCTTCCTCATGTCCGGGCACAGTGACAGCCAGTCCTCCATCTCCCACCGCAGGGCCTTTGCCTTCCTCATGTCCGGGCACAGTGACAGCCAGTCCTCCATCTCCCACCGCAGGGCCTTTGCCTTCCTCGTGTCCGGGCACACTCCTACCTCACCCCTGCTCTTACAATCTCTTATTTCCTTCACAATTCCACTGAGGACTCCCTTCTGCTTGAAACCTTCCTGATCCCCCACCGACTGTTAGTGTTAGCCTCCTATAAATTTACCTTTAATTGACGTTGTATACACTTATTTGTGGGCATGTGATCTCCCCATGGAATGGAAGCTGCTGGATGGAGGGCAAAAACAAGGTCTAGGAGAGTGCTTCAATACACAGCAGGTGCTTAACAAACGTTTGTTGAGTGATGGAGTGTCCAGGATGATTCTTACTGGAAGGATGGTGTTACCTTTGACAGAAACAAGGAAGTTAAGGAGAGAATGGGCAGGGGAGGGGAGAGAGAATGAGCTCTCTTTCCGACATATTGAGCTTGATAAGCCTCCAGAACATTCACTTGGATATGTCTAATGGGCAGTTAGCAATGGGGGCCAAAGCAGAGCCAGTGCAGCTGAACACACGGGTCAGAGATTCCACAGAAGAGGGACCATCCTGAGAGCAGCTTCAAGGGAGAAGCCGGAGGAGAAGGCGTTGAGAGGTGGGGGAGAGCAGAGAAGATGAAGGTCATGGTGCTGATTAACCGGACCCAAGGGAACGGATGAGATCAGGAGGAGAGGGCTGGACAGAGGAGAAGGCCCCGTGACTGTGGTCATTATCCTTACTGAAGGAAGTAGCCACTTCCCAACAAGGAAGGTTTGGAGAGCATCTGAGGAAAGGTAGAGATGACAAAAAACACCACTGGTGGACGTATGTGCTGAACCTTTTAGTCCAGATCCGTTCAGAGAAACTAGCCTTCTCCTGGGTTTTGTGTTATTATTTTTGGTTTCACAAACACATAATGAGCCTGATTCTCTGACCTAACAAAGACATGAACAAACTTTGGGGGAATGAATGAGAACAGGTTTGCTCCCACTTTCTGACCCACCGCCTTTCTCCCCAGATCCTGGAATTATGCTAATATTTCACATCAGCATAGCTCAGCAGAGTCAAGTGCCACCCACATCCCAGCTGGGGTGTGGCCACAGCGGGAATCAACCAGGTCAAGGCCTAATCTAATCCAACTCAGGAGGAGAATCAAGGACAGGAAAGAGGTTTTTCCTCCTCCCCAAAGGTTGGTTTCTTTTCCCCCCATGAAGTCATATGGGGGAAACTGTTTAATCGAATCATTTCAGCAAATATTTATATTACACAGGTACAGAGAAGCATGGCAGAACACTGGGAGAGAAAAGAAACTCTCTTATTCAAAGCTTTTCTTAGATCCCCATTCTCTGGCTAATAAAGTCCTTCCCTGGCACTCAGGATATACAAACTTGGCCCCAACCTGCCTCATCATGGTCTCTCCCACTACACAATATTGCTCTCACCAGACTAAACTGGCTGTTCCTAAAATACAGTCCATGATTTCTTCTTTCTTTGCCTTTTTCATGGTGTTCCCTTCCACTGGAATGTCCTCCCCTGCTGCCTTCCCTGCGTCCTCCCCCAGCTCAATTCCACCTTCCAACATCCAGTCTAAATGACAACATCCCGGCCCCATGAGGCCTTCCCCAATGCACATCCCCCAAACGCATGGGCCTCCTTCACCCAAGATCACCTGTATTCACTTGGTTCGTGCTGTATATATATCTGGATGTATACATCTTGCCTCCCCAGTAGAATGTAAGCCCCCTGAGGGCAGGCACTGCTTCTCTTGTGCCTTTGTATCCCCAGCACAGAGTTGGTATTTCACTGATGACCCTGCAGCTCTTGCACTGAACTTGCACATCACACCCCACAGCACAATTATTTGTCTGTCTCTTACCGCAGGTACATGTTTGATCTCAGGCTTTAACCCACCTGTTCAAACTAAACTCATACTTCTTCCTCCCATATATTAAGTATTCTCTCCAAAGTGGGCTACTCTCCATGCACACCCATTCTCTTTCTTGCCTCTTCTCACAGCTCCCCACACCGTTCCTAGAAGCAACTCTCCACTCACAGTCCCCACCCATTCATTCATTCATCCATCTACCCAGCCATCTATCTATCCATCCATTCATCCATCTATCCATCTATCCATCCATTCATCCATCTATCCATCTATTCATCCATCCA